ACGCCTACCATCCCCAAACTTGATAATTAGGGGATTTTGTGGATCCGTTGCTAAAGCTCGTAGCGCTTTTGATACTTGTTTTCTCTGTCATGGACTTGCTGTTATTGAAGGGATTGAATTTGAATTTAATTCTTAATAGTTAGTACCAACAATAAATTAGTGTAGATTTCTCTTTCCAAGCTCATCTCACAATTCTTGTTCATATCTGGAATCGAGTATTTGTTTAATTGACAAATGCTAACAGAATTTGTAGATTGGAATACAATAGGGCAGCTTTAATGTTCTCCCGTTGCTCTGAGAAAAGTCAAAATTACGTTAGCTCATGCTTAATGTAAGTGCGAAATAAATGTCTTGAGGAACTTATCACAAAAGATGGATGTAGTACACTTTTTGATTATAGAGTTATTTTTGAGTATACAAAAACGTATGTCAAATAAATAAGAGAAGCTCTTTCAAAACATATGTGCATAAGAAAGTAAAGGTGTTGTCTCCATTGACTCACACTAGAGAAGTTAAATACAGAAACAACTGCGACTTGTAGAGCAGATAAGAGTCTCAAGTATCCCCTGAGGCAGCCATATTGGAGAAGCGAGGACTCAGTGGTATGGGACTGGGAGAAAGACTACTGGTTCTTCTTTCCACAGAATAACCACCTGGAGAAGGACAACCATTTCCCATCTCCATAGAGTAACTCCCCGGCGATATACTTCCATTTCTCCTTTCCCCACAATGGCCATAGTCATCGTAGTGCATGCATTTCGTACAACAGCCACTCCCGCGGCTGTGTCTCGCGGGTGATTGATAGTAATGTTGGTTATGATCCACTTGGTACCTTAACCCCTCGGCTCGGCCAACAGACCTAACAGAAACAAGCCTTTCTGGCCCTTTTAGTGGATCACCAGGACCAGGAGGAGGTTTACTTAACTGGTACCCATTGTAGTTTGTTGGTTGTCTATAGTTGTAATAGTGAAGTTGCTGCTGCAGTGATTGAGGGGTATGATGGAAGCCGTGTTGCTGCGGACTAGTGACATTGTAAAAGCTAGGTGAGCTCTGAACTTTGTGCAATTGACTTCTATTCTGAAAAATACTTTGTAACAAAGACTCTTGGATAACACCATCAGTAGTGCAACTCTCAGGAGATCTTGGTGAAGAACAAGCAGATGAAATGTTAAAAGAAGCATGGCTTATGCTTAGAGGTGGCACCCGAATCCCTGCTTCCCTGGCACGGATTATACCATTAATGGCATCAATGTATCGTTGTTCTAGAGGTTCTGATGGCATTGTATGGTGGTCTACCACGACGGGCTTTGCTGGGAAGAGAAAGGCGCGAAGCCTCGGGATCCCTGCACTTTCACAACGATCATATTCATCTAACATGTGGCGTAGATCCTCCTCTGTTTTTACTGAGACCAATGCATCAAGATCCTCATGTACTAATTGGTATTTGAGAACAATGTCACCCTCAATTTGGGGAGTAAGCTTCTTCATAAGTTCTGTAATGTGACAGGACAATAATGTTATTCCCTTAGAGAACTCGGATTCAACTCAAGAATTTTAGAAAAAGAGACTTTAATATGCAATTGCTGAAGCCTGTTTTGGGTCTTGTCAATGATTAATGGCTGCTTGTGTTAAGGTACATGCCAAATCTATCTGACCTCACTATGTCATCCTCTAGAACTATCGAAGCCAAAATAATGAATAAAGATGAACAAAAGAATTACATTATTCATCATTTCTTTTCCCCTCTTTCCTCTTGATTTGAATCCATGCCAAATTGCCAATGAATTTGATATGAATTGAAAAACATGAAATTGTTCATAATTCAAAGTCCAATTAAATACATGATGCAAATAAATTCATGACTCAATTCCCTCAAATATTGCATGTTCCCATGAATAGTGAATTTTCGAGATAACAACTACGCCTTAATAACAAGCACGATCGATCATATATAGATTCTCTAAATCTTCAAAAAGACATGAAATATTTACCTGAAAGTTTAATATCTCGAGGAACGGAGATAACACGTGTCTCACCACCAACATACTTGAGGTGGCCATCAGCTGGCTGAGGAAGAATTTTTCCTCCATGGCTACAAAGAAATTTAATCCTACTCTTAGGGGAGCTTGGTGTTGACCCGAGTGGTGAACCACATAAAACAGGTTCCTCCACCGTGACACCTTCTGTTGGCATTTTCACACCAAATGACAAAAACCAAACAAGGAAAAATGAAATTAAAAATGGTAAAAATTGTATATACACAAAGAAAGAAAATGGGAGAATTGGAATTAGAATAAGAATATTATGTTTCAAGAATTGAGATGACAAAGAGAAGAACATGAATGGATTTGTGTATTTATATACGTAGAATTGGTTTCATCTATTTTTGTCACAGGCCATAGATTTGATTGTCTGGTTCTAACCGAATGTGAAATAGCATAACAATGAAGGGACTTTCTGGTATATAGGTAATAGGATAAACAAAGGTATCCCTTAATTTAATTACATTGATGGTATTTCGGATTATTCTGAGGATTATTTCGTTTTGATTCGGATTTGCAGTGTATATGAGGGGACAAAATGGACTTAAAATATTCCCTTGTATTCAGGAAATTCAAGGATAATAATATGATTCAGTTGCCTACATTCATTGAGTTCCTCTAGGGAACGTATGATATTTATAGTGTCATAATATTTTATGGCACCTATTTTAAAATACAGTTAATCGGATAAGATATTTTATGTTACACGGAGGACTTTGGATAAAATTGAACGATAAAGCACAAAATGGTAATATACAATGTACACATATCCTTTAACAAATGGTTAGAACAGAAGATAAGTTGAAAATAGGGTGATATAAGATAATTAATAATTATGCTGTAGGAGTTAGAGGTAATTAGACGCGTACCTATTTCCGATTAGTGAGGTATGTCAATCATTTCAACACAATTAGGATGCCCATAAGTATTTCTTTGTCAATTTAACATGTACATATAGAGATGTCAGTAGGTTCATTCATTACTTTTATCTTTTATGTCTTTTCTATGTGGCAAAAATGCCTTTTTTCCTTCCTAAAGTTATCTCGAAAAATCTCTTACACATCCAAAATTCACTAACAATATCTTACCCTTACTCTTTTATTCTTGTTCTGAGTAAAATTATATTAAATTAGTCCCAGCTGGTCGTCTTGGACGAATAGTGACTATTTGAATTCCAAAGTTTACTCGTACGATTCTAGTTTAGCCATTGTGCAACTTCTGTCCATCTCAACTTTTCGTTAGCGGGGATAGGAAGCCCAGCTAACTCAATTTCCTAAAGAAAAGCAAGCGGGCTCTTCCAATATTAAGCTCCTGCATCTAAACTGTATCTCTATTTTCAAAAGTATATAATTACCTATTTGGCCGAGCTGTAAAAATTAACTTATTTTGAAAAGTACTTTTTCTTGATAGTATTTTTTTCAAAAATACTTTTGGTGAAAATTAGTTTGTGTTTGGCTAATTAATTTGAAAATCACTTTTGAGCAGTAATTAATGTTTGACCAAACTTTTAAAAACTGCTTCTAAATGTATTTTTCTCAAAAGTGCTTTTCAGAAAAATAATTTTGAAGAGAAGCTATTTTTTTCTCCTTCTCCAAAACTCCTTCTGTTTCTCCACAAAATCACTTTTTTATTCTTCTAAAAGCTTGGCCAAACACTTCAACTTTGAAAAAAAAAACATATTTTTTGAAAAAAAGTGCTTCGAGGATTGGAGAAGCTTGGCCAAACAGGCTATGGTCTTGGTTCAGATTCCTTCAACCTTCCATTAGCTTTCGATTTAGTTTCATTCTAAGGCTTGGGTACAATATGGGATAACTCTCTTTCATTAAAGTTTAGATAGATAAGAAGAAATTATTTAATATTTTATTTTTATTGGACTTGAACTTGATATTTTTAACTTTATTGACCACTAGATTATAATCTTAAGCCTAATTTCACGTGGGGCTTTAAAAAATTGTCTATATTAGTCTACAACATGAGATCGTTGCAAGAAAGTATTTAATAAGAGATTTTTTCGTTCTTATACAATATTTGAAACTTATCAACCAAAATTATTCTAAATTTGCATATTATCCGACCTAACTGTGGTTTTTTTACAATTTATATATAATCCTTTATTAGTGCCTTAAATTAGGGGATTTAATTACACCCTTTTCCTTTTTTTCTCTCCTCTTCTCATTGAATATCTACAAAGACTGTTTTTGTTGAATATCTACGTAGACTATGTAGAACTTTTCACCGAAAGTAGACAAATATTAATAAACATGATTTCAACGATGATGAAATTATCATATGTTTGGCAGCTAAAATAGTAACGTGAGTATAACTTTATAATTTTTAGTATGTTCCTACAAAGTATCTAAAACTTTACTTTTGAAAACATTATTCTAGGAAAAATTAATTGTTCTAGATGCCAAATAATCAGGAATTTAGGTCATCAAACGCCTTAAAAATCACGTTTGAGTTATAAACATAACATTTAAGCCATTACAAATGCGTTCCTAAACATGGTGATTTTGCTGTTACCTAGGGAAGTAAAAAATGAATAATAAATCCTTTTATTTTTCCTTTTCCTTTTTTTTTTTGGAAGTTCATAATGCATTTCCCCAATACTTAAATCTTAATTTTGTGTCATCAGTCATGTACTACACTCTTAACAAGAAATTAATTCTTTGAATCAATGGAGAAAAACTATAAGCAATATAGAATAAATTTTTATATACAAATATGAAATTACTAACAAATGTTAACTCATATTCTCCAAAAGGTAATTACGCCCTTTAATTAGTGAACATAATATGAGGCAATCGCTCAAATCATCATTCAAGAAAAGTCCATCATTCGAAACTTCTCCACTAAAAGAAGTCATAATCCAAACTTAAAAGAACTGAACAATGAAATTATTGCTCTCTTTAAGTATCCTAATTTCGCCAAGTAAAAGAAGAAACTTAAGAAGCAAAGATGGCAGAGGTGAAAGTTTATGGTATTATAGCAGGCCCTTTAATAGATAGTAAAAATAAATTTCATACAAATAATTATATAATATATAACTTATTTATAATTTATCTATAATTTTCATACATTATTTATACCCAGTTAAATACAACTACAATATCATACAACTTAAATACAATTTTCATACAAATTTTATACAATGTGTCTTTTGTATAATTTGTATCTGATTTGTATATATTTTGTATGTGGTGTGTGCTTATTTATTTCTAAAATTCCAATCAAAACTTACTCTCTTAATACAATTTTGATACATATCAACAACTTTATGTAAAAAGATAGTATTGATAACTTAAATACAAATTTTATACAATAATTCATACATTATACAATTATTTTTCAACTTTCATACAACATTCAAATAAAAATAATATATAACTATAACAGAATATAATTTAAATATAATTATAATACAACTTTACTACAATTTCATAAGTATATTGTATGTCATGTGTTCCTCTTCTTCTTTTTCGAGTTTTAATTTGAAATTCAGCCAAAATCTTAGTCAATCAATTAAATTGAATGAAGAAAAAAATTAATCAAATAGCATGAGAGAATGAAAGAAAAGAGCAAAAGGCCTAGGACACACGCTGAATAACAATATCATGAATTCATGAGTTTTTAGTTAAGATGTATGTATAACTAATTCAACTGAGTTTTCTATCTTTTCATAGTAATTTGGAGAAAATAAGTCTAATGTATGTGGTGTGTACTTCTTCATCTCTAAAATTTCAATCAAAACTTACTCTCTTAATACAATTTTGATACATATCAATAACTTTATGTAAAAAGATAGTATTGATAACTTAAATACAAATTTTATACACTGATTCGTACATCATACAACTATTTTTCAGCCTTCATACAACATTCAAATACATATATATATATATATAATACAACTTTACTACAATTTCGTAAGTATATTGTATGTCATGTGTTCGTCTTCTTCTTCTTCTTCTTCTTCTTCGAGTTTCAATCTGAAATTCATCCAAAATCAAGTCTAAACTTCACCAAAACATCCTCAAAATTGAGATAAACTCAAAATAATATTCCTAATTATTTGCAACAACACCCAATCCAAACAAATAATAGTTTTTGAAAACCCAAATTCGATTTCAAAGCTTCAAAGATTTTTAATGGCTATCAATGGTGGAGAGTCAAATACCTTCAAAATTTATTGATTGACAATTTTAATTTGAACACCAATTGTGCAACTGTTTACCCGTAAAACGGTACAGTTGAATTTATACGTAATTTCTAGACAAATGAACTAATTTAATCATGAAACAATATAATAATTGAAGAAATATACAACAATTAGCCGTAGAATGTAGATAAAATAGCAAAGATGATAATTCCGTGAACACAGTTCCCGAAAATGACAATGAGATCTAAAAGCAAGAAAGTGAAATTGTATAAAGCTTTGTATAGAATATAGTATATGTTCTTGCCAGAAAATTCGTGCCCTTTACAATGGTCATTGGGCTCATTATTTATAGTTATGCCTAGGAAAAAAGGTCTTACGATCATGCCCCCCTTTAATGTCAATTATGAGCGTAATTAATGAAAATATAACGTTGAGTATAAATATCAAATTCTCTGTAACGTACCGTCGCTCTTAATGCTGTAGAATATTTTTTAGTAAATGCTACTGGGCGCAGAGCATTTAATACACTTTTATAAACGTTATCCGTTTCGGTGACAATCGCAGTGGCTGCATTCGGTCCTCAACTATCCCATCTTGAATTCCACGTGTCCTCCTTTTAGTCAGTCACATGTCATATCATATTTTACCCTATACAACAACATGAAAGAAAATTGCTAAGTTAAAACGATTGAAATCCATTAATGAATTTCATTAAAACTCTATACAACAAGAAATCATAAAAAAATAGAGAACATCAAATGAAGAAAAATTAGGGGAAAAAATAGAGAATGAGAGTAGAGAGACGAAGAGAGAGAGAGAGAGAGAGAGACGGAGATATTCCTTATTCAATTCCTAATATAAAGGGATACTCATTTAAAACTTATTTGTATATAACTAGTAAATTGTATATGACCATGTAATTAAATTGAAACTTGAGTAGGGAGGGTAATAACTACGATGTCATTTTGGACGATGACATCGAAATCGAAACGACTATCACTCATGATCTGGCTATTGTATGCTCATGGATCGACAAAACCGAAATCTTAAACCAATCACGTCTCCACCGCTTGATTGTCGGCCTCGATATCGCAGTGGCGCCCTAACTTCAGTGCCACTGCCGCACAAATTCAAAACCCCATCGCCACCATCCAACTATGCATCGGAAAATCCTGTCTTATTTACCAAATTATCCACTCCGCCAATATTCCCCGTCGACTCCGCCAGTTCCTCCAGAAAGAAACTTACGAATTTGTTGGGGTTGATATTGAAAGTGCCAAGAAGAAATTGAATTACGATTATGGACTTTTAGTGTCGAAGAAGGTTGATCTCCGAAAGTGGGCGGCGGCGGAGCTGGAGAAGAAGGAACTTCGCACGGCGGGACTGAAGGATTTAGTGAAGGAAATTGTGGGAAAAAAGATTATTCCCTCTATTTTGTAAATGGGCACAAGAAATTATTCCCGATATTTTGTTGATTTCAATTTATTGACGGTTCGTATGAATTAGGGGAGACTTAGTTTTCTTATTCACTATAAATACTAGTATTATTTTAGTTATATGATCTTTTCATTGGAGCTTGGTCAATGAAATTGGTGTATTCTTATTAGACATCTACAATGGGAAAAAGGATAAGACTCAATTAGATAACAATGTTGTAGAGCTCAATTGATTCAAATTTATAACGTTGAACTTCAAATTGTAACATTTTATTCATCAAACAGTACTGACATAAAATTTTAATGAAGACTAGAATAAGTAACCTTATAAGTGTGGTACTGTTGATTTTAGAGAGAGAATTTCTGAAGAAGCCAAAATGAATTTTTATTCTATTGATTCTGTTTGCCACTGTTATAAGCAAAAATGAATATATATACATCTAACTAACTACTAACCGCTTCACTTGTATTTCTAGCTAACCCACGTGTGTAATGAAAAAGAAATTACATAATTAGCCTATTCTAGAAGCTACTTAAGCTATGTGATACAACTGTAGATTATGGATAGCCCATGTGATAAATAAGACAAGTCTGATGAAGGACCAATATGATGAAGCCCCAATATATGTGTTTACTTGCATAGTCCAATAGTAGTTAGTCATTGGAAAGAAAGAAAACCCTAATGTCCAATGTCCAATGTCTTTACCTGCATATATGTCTTCATCCTTTTCATTCTGTGACTTAACCTGGACTCGGTGAAGTGTCACCGGCAATAACCCCCCTCAACTTACCGAGTAGATCATGATGAAGAGGCCCAGAAAGGGGCTTGGTAAAGAGATTGGCGAGCTGGTGGTGAGAAAGAAGAATAGAAAGGGAGATGAGACCAACTTGGAATTGCTGCCTGACGAAATGGCAATCAAGCTCCACATGTTTGGTACGCTCGTGAAAGATGTAATTTTTAGCAATGTGGATAGCAGCCTGACTATCCAAGTGGAGGGGTACTGGAAAAGAAGGAACGAAAGAAAGGTCATCGAGTGGACGAACGAGCCAAGTCAGCTCGACAACAACATGCCTCATTAACCGGTACTCGGCCTCAGCAGAAGACAAAGAGACGGAAGGTTGTTTCTTAGATTTCCAAGAAATAGGACATCCCCCTAAACTTATGAAAAACCCATTAACTGAACGTCGACTATCAGGACAGGAACCCCAATCGGAGTCGCAGAAAGCGAGCAAGTCAAGAGAAGGATCATCGGACATGAGAAGACCCAAACCAGGATCATGAAGAAGTTATCGAAAGCAATGATGAGCTGCATAGAAATGAGACTCACGAGGATCCTGCATAAATTGGCTAAGATGCTGAATGACAAAAGAAATATCAGGACGAGTATGGGTCAGAAAATTGAGTTTCCCCAATAGACGACGATAGAGCAGAAGGTCAGAAAGAGGGACACCAACCCCTGCATGTAGCTTGGAAGAAGGATCCAAAGGAGAAGAAGCAGAAGACTGACCAAGGCAATCAAACTCAGTAAGAAGTTCAAGGGTGAACTTGCATTGACAGAGAATCAGACCAGACGACTCACGAAGCACTTCCGTGCCCAAAAAATAAGATAAGTTCCCCAAGTTTTTTATCTTAAACTTTTAATCTAGAAATTATTTTAAATCATTGAGCTCCTGAATATTGTTACCTGTGAGTAAGATATCGTCCACATAAACAGCCACCAAAGAAATAGAATCACCATTCTTTTTGTAGAAGAGAGAGTAGTCGTTTAAGGAGTGAGTAAAACCCTTGAAATTAAAGGCAGCTATCAAGCGGGCATACCATTGCCTAGAGTCTTGACGAAGCCCATAAAGAGACTTCTTTAAATGACAAACCAAATTAAGAGCGGGGGGTCTAGACCAGCGGTAAATTTCATATAAACCTCTTCATGTAGATCCCCATGTAGAAAAGCGTTGTTCACATCCAATTGATAAAGACCCCAATTTTTCTTTACTACAATAGCAAGGATACACCTAATAGTGGTCATTGGGACCACGAGGGAGAAAGTCTATATAAAATCAATCCCTTCTCGTTGAGTGTCTCCTCGAATAACCAAACGAGCTTTAAGTCTTTCCACACTTCCATCAGATATTAGCTTAACCTTGTAGACCCACTTACACGGTAGTGCTTTCCTCCCAACTGGTAATGGAACAACCTACCAAGTATCATTATCCTTTAAGGCATCAAGATCTTTGGCCATTGCTTCTTGCCAACCAGGGTGCAATGCTGCCTGAGAGTAACTAGAAGGCTCATGTACATATGGTAGGGAGTTCAAAAGGCTTTGGTTAGGAGTAGAAAGTGCAGTAGGAGAAATAGTAGAAGGGGAGATAGGTGAGAGAAAATAGGATGTAGAGACATCAGTTAAGTGTACTGCTCCACAAATATAATCACACAAATAGACAAGTGCATTGTGCTCTCTCAAAGACCTGCGCAAAACATCATTAGGAGCACTAGGTGAATGAGCAGGATTAAAAGTAGGAGAAGAATCAGATGTAGAAGAGGATATAGGAGGAGCAGTAGATGAGGTAGAAGGGGTATAAGATATTGTAGATAAGGGGCTAGGAACATGGCTAGAAGGAACATGAGGTGAAACAGAAACAGAAGTCTCAACAGAAGGAGCAATATGGGAAGGATCAACAGGAATAGAAGAAGAAGAAAAAGTAGGAGAAGGTGAGGAATCAGTAGAATTACGAGTTGGAGATGTAGAGAAATCAGTGGTGGAAAAGATAGGAAATAAAGGAGAGAAATTAGTGTGAAGACTCGTAAAAGGAAAAATAGACTCGTGAAAAATCGCATTCCTGGAAACAAAAATTTCTCTAGTCTGTAAGTTTAACAACCTGTATCCTTTCATTCCAGTAGGATAATCAAGATATACACAAGTAACTACCCTAGGATCAAGTTTGTCTCTAAGATGAGGCAAAATGGAAGCAAAACATAAGCAACCAAAACTCTTAAGGAAGGTGTAATCAGGTGCTTTATGAAAAAGTACTTCATAAGGGAATTTATAGTGAAGAAACTTAGTTGGAAACCTATTAATAAGGAAAGTGGCAATAAATAGACATTCCCCCCAATAACAAATAGGCACTTTAGAATGAAAAATGAGGGCCCTACAAATTTTCATCAAATACTTGTATTTTCTTTCAACAATACTATTTTGTTGAGGAGTACCAACACAGGTGGTTTGATGAAGAATTCCCTTTGAAAAGAAGTAGGTTATTGCAGCAATACTACTTCCTAATTCAAAAGTATTATCAGACCTAATTTTCTTGACTTTGACGTCAAATTGTCTTTCTACCATAGATATGAAAAACTTGAGGACAGTGGAAGCATTACTCTTGGTACTCAACAAATAGGTCCAAGTATCCCTACTAAAATTATCAACAATTGTAAGGAAATAATTAAAACCATTGTGGGTAGGTACCTTATAAGGACCCCAGGTATCAATATGAATGAGTTCAAAAATGTAAGAAGTAGAACTGTTGCTATCAGGAAAAGGCAATATGTGTTGTCTAGCCATAGGGCAAATGGAACAAGGAATATCTTCTTTACAAATAGTAGTTTGTGGTAAAACAAAAATGTATCTCATGGTAGAAATGGGTAAATGACCCAGCCTTACATGCCACAGATTGTTACCAGAACTAACAGAATTAGACATTGTATGTGAACTATGAAGTGCAACAAGTTTGAGAAGAGTTTTGTGTAAGTGTAACATTCTTATTTGGATGCAGAGAATCAGCAGACTGGTGGATTGAATGGAAAAGATAAAGTCCAGCTTTGACATCACCAAGGACCAGAGTCCTCCTCAAATAAAGGCCCTGCATCAAATAACAAGTTTCAGCAAAGGTAAGAAGGACTTTGAATTGGCTGCATAATCTATTAACTGAAATCAGATTAAATTTAAAATTTGGGACATAAAGTACTCTGTGTAGAGTCAAATCTGGGTGTATAGTTACTTGTCCTGCTAGAGTAACTCTTACCCTTCGTGAATTAGGAAGGTTAACATTAACAAGACTGAGTAATGGTTTGATATTAACTATGATAGTAGAGTCAAATATCATGTGTTCTGAAGCACTAGAGTCAAAGATCCAAATATGACTCTTAGAATTATTATATGAATAGGGAATAATAGGCAAGCATGTACCAGCACAGTTAGCATTGACATTGACTTCAGAACTTGTTGTAGCTTGCTGACCAATTTTAACTTGTTGAAGCAGTTCCATCAACTGTGATAATTGTTCCTGTTTTATACTAATTGTTGCCTCTGTATCATTAGCCTGAACTTGTGCATAACCTTCATCTGTTGTGACTGCATTCCCTTGATTGGGATTCTGAAGCCTTCTTTGCTTGTTATTTGGCTTAAAATTCTGTGGATAGCCATGAAGTTTATAGCATTTGTCAAGCGTGTGTCCTGGCTTTTTGAAATAGTTACAATTGAGATTCCTCATGTTTTCTTGGTTGTTTCTAAAATTATAACCACCTGGTGAACTACCAGTATTCATTGCAAAATTTGTGGTTCTGTCACGACCCGAATTTTTCACATTCTGACTGTGATGACGCCTAACATTTCACTTGCTAGGCAAGCCAACGTTAGAATAATATTTATCAATTTTTAGACAATCTTTACATTATTAATAATCAAGGAAACAAAAGCGGAAGCAAAGTTTTAAATATAGTAAAATAATCCATAAATGCAACGGTATCTAAATACCATCCCGGAATTAGTGTCACAAGTGTACGAGCTTCTAGAATAAATACAAATAAAGGTCTGAATAAAATTAAGCTGTCTGAAAATAAACACACAGCTAAAGTAAAAATAGACGGGGACTTCAGAACTGCGGACGCCATGCAGTTATACCTCAAGTCTCCTCTGGTAGCTAAAATCCGAGCAAGTCTACGGTACGCCGCTGGGACCAACTCCAAAATCTGCATAAGAAGTGCAGAGTGTAGTATCAGTACAACCGACCCCATGTATTGGTAAGTGCTGAGCCTAACATCGACAAAGTAGTGACGAGGTTAAGGCGGGTCACTTATATTAACCTGTACGCAATATTAGTAACAACAACAATAATAGAAATAATTCAGGTAACTCATTTATAATAATTGAAACCAACTCAGCAGTCATAACCAATTATCATTTCCATCAATTCTGTTGCAGCGTGCAACCCGCTCTCACAATATATTCACATTCAATTCTGTTGTAGCGTGCAACCCGCTCTTATAATATATTCACATTCGATTCTGTTGCAGCGTGCAACCCGCTCTCACAATATATTCACATTCAATTCTGTTGTAGCGTGCAACCCGCTCTTATAATATATTCACATTCGATTCTGTTGCAGCGTGCAACCCGCTCTCACAATATATTTATTTTAATCAAGTCTGTTGCGGCGTGCAACCCGATCCCCCAATATATATATATATATGTATGTCGACTTTTAAATAAGTCTGTTGCGGCGTGCAACCCGATCCTCCAATATGGACTTTTAATAAGTCTGTTGCGGCGTGCAACCCGATCCTCCAATATATTCATTATAATTAATTCTGTTGCAGCGTGCAACCCGATCCTTCAATATATTCATTATAATCAATTCTGTTGCGGTGTGCAACCCGCTCCTTCGACATATTCATTTACTAATTCTTATAGAAGAAATTTCTCAAATAATTACATACAATAAGACAACAAGCATACAATAATTATGATTTAATTATGAAACAAACAATGTCAAATAGAAAATTATTATGGAATTCAAGAAAAAAATAGGCAGTTTAATATTTAATATGCTAAATGTCAAATAATAATTAAAACACATAATTCAAATATCATGTAACAATTAATGCAGGAATTCAAGAATTAATATTTGACAAAGAATAGGAGAGAAACAATTAATATAATAATTAATTTATGATTTAAAACAATTTATGATTTTTCAAGTAAGCAGACAAACAATTAATTTGACGACGTATAGACATTCGTCACCTCGCCTATACGTCGTTCACATGCAATTCACATAACAAATAGTTTAAGGGTTCTATTCCCTTAAGTCAAGGTTAACCACGACACTTACCTCGCTTTGCAAATTCCAATCAATTATTCAACCACAACTTTTCCTTTTAAATTTATCTCCGAAAGCTTCAAATCTATTCACAAACAATTCGATATATTCAATACGAATAATAGGAATTAATTCCATATGAATTTACTAATTTTTCGGATAAAAATTTGAAATTCATTAAAATATTCGACAGTGGGACCCACGTCTCAAATCTCGAAAAAACTTATGAAATCCGAACACCCATTCCGAGATGAGTCCAACCATATAGAAATTATCCAATTCCGATGTCAAATGGACCTTCAAATCTTAAATTTTCTTTTTTGGAAGATTTTAGAAAAATCTGATTTTTCTTTCACAAATTCACGGATTCATGATATAAACGAGTATGGAATCATGAAATATAATTAATATAGGATAAATAATACTTACCCCAATATTTTTCCGTGAAAATCGCCCAAAAATCGCCTTACCCGAGCTCAAAAATTGGAAGGAGTTGAAAATGGGTCGAAACCCCATTTTCAGAACTTAAGTTCTGTTTATGGGATTTTTACCCTTCGCGTTCGCGAAGGTACTCTCGCGAACGCGAAGCACAACTTTGTGCTGTCCAATTTTTACTCTTCGCGAACGCGATGCTTGCCTGGCTTGGCCTTCGCGAACGCGAGATGCCCTTCGCGAATGCAAAGGCTAATTTTTCCTGGCTAGTTTCTTTCCCTTCGCGAACGCGAGGCTTTTATCGCGAAGGCGAAGCTTTGAACCTCAAGCCTTTGCGAACGCGGTCTCTATGTCACGAACGAAGCACAAAACGTGCTAGCCCCAAGAAGAAGAACACACCATAAGCCTGAAGTCAGCAGAAAACCAGATTTCCTAAGTCCGAAATCATCCCGTAGCCTATCCGAAACTCACTCGAGCCCTCGGGGCTCCAAACCAAACATGCACACAAGTTCTAAAATATCATACGATTTTGCTCGCGCTATCAAATCGCTAAAATAATACCTAGAACTTCGAATCAGACACCAAATCAAAGGAAGTTTTCAAGAAAATTTTAAAACTTATATTTTTACAACCGGACGTCCGAATCACGTCAAATCAACTCCGATTCTCACCAAATTTGGCAGACAAGTCATAAATATTATAGTGGACCTACACCGGGATCCGGAACCAAAATACAAACCCAAGGTCAATAAATCCAACATGATTAATTTCTTAAAAATCATTAAGCTTTCAAGCTTTTAATTTTTCATCAAAATTCCATATCTCGAGCTAGGGACCTCGGAATTTGATTCCGGGCATACGCCTAAGTTCCAAATCACGATATGGACCTACCGGAATTGTCAAAACACTGATCTAGGTCCGTTTGCTAAAAATATTGACTAAAGTCAACTCAGTTGAGTTTTAAAGCTCTATTTCACATTTTAATTCATTTTTCACATGAAAACTTTTCAGAAAATTTTACGGACTGCGCACGCAAGTCGAGAAATGATAAATGGTACTTTTCGAGGTCTTAGAATATAGAATTTTTTATTAAATTTAAATATGACATTTTGGGTCATCACATTTTCCACCTCTAAAACAAACGTTCGTCCTCGAACGGAGTTAGAACAAAAGTACCTGAGCTGGAGAAAAGAGCTGGAGAAAAGGTGTGGATATTTACTACGTATGTACGACTCGGACTCCCAAGTAGATTCCTCTACCGGCTGACCTCTCCATTGCACCCGAACTGAAGGATAACTCTTAGACCTCAAGTGTCGGACCTGCCAGGCTAGAATAGCCACCGGCTCTTCCTCGTAAGTCAAATCTTTGTCCAATTAGACTGAGCTGAAATCTAACACATGGGACGGATCACCATGATATTTTCGGAGCATAGACACATGGAACACTGGATGAACCGCTGATAAACTAGGTGGTAATACAAGCCTGTAGGCTACTTCACCCACCCTTTCAAGAATTTCAAAGGGTCCGATATACCTAGGGCTCAACTTGCCCTTCTTTCCGAACCTCATTACACCTTTCATAGGTGAAACCCGGAGCAATAATCTTTCTCCAACCATGAATGCAATATCACGAACTTTACGATTGGCATAACTCTTTTGCCTAGACTGAGCTGTGCGAAGTCGATCCTGAATAATCTTGACCTTATCCAAGGCATCCTGTACCAAATCGGTACCCAACAACTGAGCCTCTCCTGATTCAAACCAACCAACTAGCGATCGGCATCGCCTTCCGTATAATACCTCATATGGAGCCATCTGAATGCTCGACTGGTAGCTATTATTATAAGCAAACTCCGCAAGTGGCAAGAAATGATCCCAAGAACCTCCAAAGTCTATAACACAAGCGCGGAGCATATCTTCTAATATTTGAATAGTGCGCTCTGACTGTCCGTCTGTCTGTGGATGAAATGTTGTACTCAACTCCACCCGCGTGCCTAACTCACGCTGTACAGCCCTCCAGAAATGTGAGGTAAACTGCGTACCTCAATCTGAAATAATAGACACGGGCACACCGTGAAGGCGGACAATCTCACGAATGTAAATTTCAGCTAACCTCTCTAAAGAATATGTAACTGCCACTGGAATGAAATGTGTTGACTTGGTCAACCTGTCTACAATGACCCAAACTGTGTCAAATTTTCTCTGAGTCAGTGGGAGCCCAACAACAAAATCCATAGTGATACGCTCCCACTTCCACTCAGGAATTTCTAAATTCTGAAGCAAACAACCAGGTCTCTGATGCTCGTACTTAATTTGCTGACAATTTAGACACCGAGCTACATATGTAACTATATCCTTTATCATTCTCCTCCACCAATAATGTTGCCGCAAATCTTGATACATTTTAGCGGTACCTGGATGAATAGAATACCTGAAACTGTGTGCCTCTTCAAGAATTAATTCACGAAGCACATCCACATTAGCTACACAAATATGGCCCTGCATTCGCAGAACTCCATCTTCCCCCACAGCAACCTGTTTGGCATCACCGTGCCGCACCGTGTCCTTAAGGATAAGTAAATGAGGATCATCATACTGCCTCTCTCTGATGCGCTCATATAAAGAAGACCGAGCGGATGTGCAAGCTAGAACCCGACTGGGTT